GAGGCAGAGTTGCTCTGCCCCGGGCTTCCTGGAATCAGCTGCTGATCAGTTTCAGCAGCGGCTGAATCTGGACGCCAGTTCCGACTTACATACAGATTCAACTTAAGAACAAACCTACAGTCCCTATCTTGTACGTAACCCGGGGACTGCCTGTATTTATCTTCAAAATCTTTGCTTCATTGATAGGAACTTGCCACTTTTCTTTTAAAACAATTTTAAAATTGAAGCCCAGGGTAGTGTACAGTGAGCATAGCTTTTTAAAATGCAAATACATTTCTGATCAGTGTAGCATTCTTATTAGCACTATAGTATACACAGCTGTTAGTAGCATATATATATATATAGTGTAACACCAAAGTTATATATATACACAGCTGTTAGTAGCATATATATATATATATAGTGTAACACCGAAGTTATATAATAAACACAAAAGGCAGAGAGCACAAGTTAATAATTAAGGTTCTCATAGTGGGAGTAATCCACATTGCATAATATATTCATGTATTCATTTAACAACCTAGCTAGCAACACTTTGGTAGATGCATCAGTCAGTGATGGACTTTCATCTAACCTTACTCTACAAGAAAGATGTACGTTTTTGCCAAGATGTGGGAATGTGAGGTTATGTCTACACTGCCCTGCTCTTCTTACACAATTGCATTAACACAAACAAGGTACGTTTTAGTTCTGCCCACAGAGTCCACATGAGGGAGATACAGAGCAGCCCTTTGGGGTACACTGCTATTTATTTCCCTGTAGTCTGAACAATGGGACACTTATAAACAAACCCAGAGAGGAGCTCTTCAGAGTCTTACTTCTGAACATTTTTGACGTGTCCAAAATGAGAGAAGCAAAAAAATAAGTCCTCAAATTAGTTTTAATAATAATAACCCCCAAAAAACTCCCAAACAGACAGCATTATATGAATAATACTATCTGTGCCATGCTACATGATTACACTAGTGAAGCAAGTGGGTATCACTGAAATTGGTAATCAAGACTAGCAACTGATCAGAAGAAATCTGTTTTTTAAATATTTGAACGAGACTACAGATGAGGTTCTTATAACAATGGGTTTGGCCCAATAATCATAAAGTAGGCATGGAGGAGTAAATCTAATAATTAAGTCTAGATCTGTTACATTTAATTATTCTTGTGTAACATATATTCAGATTATTCATAGCTATTTGTTTTATTTAACAATGCGAGGTGTTAGGATTGCACTTTCTTTAAAGAGAAGAGAGTCAAAACAGATTTTTCCTGCTTTATTTCTTGCTCACCATTGCTAATAAACTAAGAACATTGCTTGCAGTTCTAAGTGCTTAGTTCAATAAGAATTAGCTGCTGTTTTCTGTTACAGTATACTAGACTACAACGCTTAAATTTGGTACTTTAAGGACAGCAATCTTACATACAAATTTAAAAAAATAAATTAACAAATCACCAAGAGGATATTAATGACAGAAGAAAAAATATAAAACATTTTATAAATTCCATTTAAATGTTTAATACATATATTAAATGACATATATCTTTGGTGGCATGACCCTTCTAAAGGTAGAAGTAGGAAAAGACTTCTTCCTGCTTATCAGGAAAAAGCACTGTTTGAATTACATATATAACAATCTGGGGGGAAAAAGAATTTTGAATTCTCATAATTTGATCAGACTCACTTTTCTGACGTAATTGGTTCACAAAGTTTAGACAAATCATCATGCCTATGTCTACACTGTAGGCTACTTGTGCAAGAATGTCCTTTCTTATGAAAAAACTTGTGGAGCATCCACACTACAAGCCCGTTCTTGCGCAAGAATGTTTACAATAGGTCGTCAGAAGAGGTCTTTTTGCGCAAGAGTTATTTCTCTTCCCACGAGGAATAAGCCTTTTTGCGCAAGAGCTCTTGTGCAAAAAGGTTAATGTGGACGGGAACTGGGGTTTCTTGCACAAAAAAACCCTATGGCTAAAATGGCCATCAGAGCTTTCTTGCACAAAAGTGTGTACACTCTGCCATGGATGCTCTTACGCAAAAGCACATGGCAATGTGGACGCACTTTTGCACAAGAACTCTTGCGCAAAAAGTTCTTGCACAAGAAGCCTGCAGAGTAGACAGCCCAAGACTATAGAGAGTTGCATGCATTTACACCATTCTGCAAGCTGTAAAGCTAACTCTGTGAAATGTATGTTGCTTTTTCAAAACAAGAATTGATTGTCCATCTTACTTTACATCAAGGTTTCAAGGTTTTAGGAAAAGTTGAGGAGTTCTGTGATACCTTAAAGCCTAGCAGATTTATTTGAGCAAAAGTTTTTGTGGGTAAAAAACACTTTGCATGGAGTCTGAAGTAGTTTTTACCCATGAAAGCTTATGCCCAAATAAGTCTGTTAGTCTTTAAACTGCCACAGGACTCCTCGTTTTTGCAGATACAGACAGATTAACACAGCTACTCGTCAAGGTTTTAGGTATTTCCATTGCATTATTCTTTAATAGTGATAAAGTATGTAATATGGAAGTGGATGTTCTTCAAATTGTTTCTCCATCCTTTGAATGTGGAATAAGATCTCAATGTCTGTATTGTTCTCTGTTATCCTTTTTCAGTATTGCTTATACAGAAAACTTGTTTATTCACTAATTATCCCCTTTTTGCTTCCCTTAGGCAGAGAATCCTCCCAATGGTCCTGATTGTGGTTATGGTTCTTTTCACCAGCAATACTGGCTAGATGGGAAGATAATTGCAGTGGGTGTAATTGACATTCTTCCATACTGTGTGTCTTCCGTGTATCTGTACTATGATCCTGACTATACTTTCCTATCATTGGGAGTCTACTCTGCATTAAGGTAAGAAGAGAACATTTTTGTCTTCAGTTAGTAGTCATTGAGATGAGCTCTTAAATTTGAGCTTGGGACCTGTCTGGTCCCGAACAAGGGGATTTGCCGGACCAGGGGAGCTCCCTCCTCTCCTGACCCAGGTTGCCACTGGGTTAAGGTGTCAGCCTGTCCCTGCTGAGGCACCAGGCCCCTTCCCCGGGGATCTCTAGATGCCACCGGCTGCGCTGCTGCTGGGGTCAGAGCACCATAGCCAGAGCTCTGCAGCCGAAACAGAGCTCCATAGCTGCCTTGCTTTGTGGCTGTGGCCAAGCTCTGCAGCTGGGGCAGAACTCCACGGCCACCTGGCTCTGGGGCTGGGGCAAGAGCTCCGCAGTCTCAACTGAGCTCTGCAGCTGCCTGGCTTTGTAGCTTGGGCTGGAGCTCCCTGGCCACCCATTTCTCCCGACACAAACATACACTGTGGCTCCCAGCTGAGTCGCCGGTGCCACCTGCAGTGCTCCTGCCCTGCTGCCAGATCTCCCTGTTCTTGGGCTCTGTAGTCCAGGAATAACTGTGTTTGGTACCGGACCATGGATGTGTTGCTGGAGCAGGGAGCCCCGGTTATGGGAGTACAACCTGTAAATATTTCATTGAGGCATTCCATTAAGATGAGGAGACAAGACAAGATGTTTATTTAAATGAGCAGTGAAACTTTTATTGATTACCTCCATTTATATAATGTAGTTAATTGTGGTACTAACACCAAGGCCCCTATCTTGTAGTTCTAAACATGAGCATTTCAACATGAGTCATTTAGTTGAGTTCCCTTATGAATTTCAGCATTAGTCTTATACTTAACTTTAAGAAAATGTGTACATCTAGTAGGAACAGGGTGAAAATCTCTTACCAGAAGATTTAAAATGTTAGTTAAAATGTTTAATTGGACACTATCAACATGAATGGTGTCTGCTCACCTTAGAATGCCCACTCCTAACCAGATGTAGCATTATAGCTCCTTGCTGAGTTAGCAGTCCCCTGTCAACCATCACTCCAGTGCTGTGGCAGCTTCTCAGCCAGAGGGTCGAGTCATTGGAGCAATCACTAGGCAATGGCACAATCTTTGGTCCACCCCTTTTGGGATCATAGTTATCCAAACTAAAAATCCACAAAACATCTTAATACAAAGCTGAACATTCAGCATTTTCCCTGTTAGATCAGAGTTTCTTCCAGACCTACCTGCCTGGAAAGCTTTTTCCCAACTGACTCAGAAGCGTCCTGCAAAAGCCTTCTTGCTCTTTGAATGCTTTACAGCTGCTGTTGCATTTTCCTGGGCTTTGTTCTTTTCACTGCTATGTCCTGCTTTGCCTTTGTAGGAACCTCCCTCCACTTTTTAAGCCTGGCTCCTTTTATATAGGAATCCCCTGATTCCTCTAAGGTGGGGCTTATCCTGGTGTTAGAGTTGGCTTAGTCCCAGGCTCTCCCACCCTTGGAATAAGCCTCTGTCTTACAAATTCCCACTCCAACTATCATTGGAGGCCAGACAGGCCATCTCCTTTCTGTCTCTACACTGTAACTCTAAGGCTATGTCTACGCTGGAGGCTTCTTGCGCAAAAACTTGCTGGGAGTCTACACTGCATGTCCATTCTTGAGCAAGTAAATTTACAGTACAGCATCAGAAAACAGGGCTTCTTCCGGAAGAGTTATTCCTCTCCCCATGAGGAATAAGCCGTCTTGCGCAAGAGGGCAGTGTAGACAGGCAACGTGAATGTCTTGCACAAGAAATCCCTCTGGCTAAAATGACCATCAGAGCTTTCTCGTGCAAGAGAGTGTCCACATTGCTTTAGACATTCTTGTGCAAAAGCACATATCTTGCGCAAAAGCACATGCCAATGTAGACATGCTCTGTGGAAGACTTTGCTCAAGAACTCTTCCGCAAAACAGTTCTTGCGCAAGAAGCTGGCAGTGTAGACGTGGCTAAGGATACATCTACACTGCAACACTATTTCGAAATAACTAACATTATTCCAAAATAACTTAGTCCGTGTCTACACAGCAGGCAGTTATTTTGAAATAGTATCAAAATACTGTTAAGTTGGAGTACTTTTTACTCTGGCTCCTGTAACCCTCATTATACAAGGAGTGAGGGAAGTCAGAGGAAGAGTGCTCTGTTTCAAAATAAGTGCTGTGTAGACGCTCCCTATTTTGAAATGACCTATTTCGAAATAAGGTATGCAATTCATGTAGCTCAATTTCTGTAGCTTATTTTGAGGTAAGCCCTTCAATGTAGACACGCTGTAAGTGATCGAATTCAAAATATGGTTTTAAATATTATCTATTTGTTGCCTCTATCTATTCAAACTAAAATCTATTTTTTCGGATATCTGCTTGCAAATGTGCAGCTCAACCAGGAAAATCCTTCAGCAACTGTAAAGAGAATCCTTCAGTGTTACAGCTTGGTGCACCAAGTTTGGTGAGCTATCTCAAATGAGTTAGGGAGAAATGCCCCTTTGCCTGAGGCCCCACCCCTATCAGTGGTACAAACTGTAACATACATATGACATTTGGCATCACTATCCAAAATGCCCCAGTTACTCTAGCACACCTTCCTCTCGGGTACTCTGGTTTATAGTTTAACACTTCATTGGTATGTGACTTTTCAGAGGATTTTCTAAACCAATCACACTTCACTCATAATGAAAGCACAAGAGATGCACAGATCTTGGTACAAATGGAGCTGTACACAGTTCCCTTCTACTGATTCTTCGTAACGCTTGACCATTTGGGGGGCTTTGGTAAGCACCTTAGGGGGTTCTAGATTCTCTCTCCTGTGCTGCTCAGTGAACGTGATTTTTAACAGCAGTTTCTAATGCCTTTTTCTCTGTTTTCCCCCCTCCCGCCGCTGGGAATTTTCCTTTGTTCAAGCTCACCTCCCCAAGCCCTGCAGACAGCATGGTGAGAACTGATTCCCCCTAGATTGCAGCCATCTCATTCTGTTAGGGTGCCTCCATCTCAATAGAAGACCAATCAGGTTGACAACATATAATTGTTTCTGTTGCACCTCCTTTGACATAGTCTGGGCGGTCCATGACACAGACCCAGTTAACAAATGGCTGCTACAGAATACACTGATGCATTCAGTGATCCACCAGTTTTGTAAACTTCAACCGGAAATTGTAAGTTTTACATAAAGAATTTTCCCAAACTGTCACAACATAATTTAAGCAGAAACCATTACTAGAATCACTGACTATTTCATCATCCCGAGGTATATTGCATAATGTTAAACACCTAAATAAAAGGTGCCTGATTTTTTCAAAGGAGCTGAACACATGAAAGCAGTATTTTAAGAATGTTTTTTATATCTTGTGGTATGTATTGCATTGCATGGATAACAATAGATTGACATAGACCTTGCATGTGAATATTTGGAATGATGTACATTTCCTATATAATAAATTCTAAACCTTATGTAGGCACAACATGCTTTCATGGTGCAATAAGTTAAGAGGCCAGCTTGTAAATCGTTCTGCATTTAAGGCAGTAAAGCTGAAATCCCAGTAGTATTAGAAGGGGCCAATCTAATGTTACTCTTCTTACACACACACACATCCCATTAGAAAGAATTTAGGAAACAGCAAAGGAACACGATTTTATAAAATCTTTTATCAATTTTACTCTGAGGAGACTGGAACTACATTAGTTTTGTCACTTTCACTGTATGCTATTGAGAACTTATGTTGCTGATTATGTAGAAAGGAAGAGATTTTAAGTTGATTAAGAGGTGTGGAAACACGAGTAAAGAGCAAGGGGAGGAGTAAAAAGCTTCTAGTAAGTTATCAGCATGAATGATTTTCACAATATGATATAAACTGACAAAAAATACACTGAGGGGGGTTTTGGCCACGAAAGCTCTTGATACTATATATATTTTTGTTAGTCCTGTGGCACCTCAGAGACTACTTATTTTTGAGAATTATACTGTTGTTATTCCCAGAATGAAATTCAGCCTCTTTTGAATACTACTTGATGTCATGAAAATTAACACTTCATAGTACTTCAAATTTTTTGACAGGAAAAAAAATGTATTTCAGGTCTAGTTGAGCTATTTTATGTAGCATCGAACCCCTGACTTATGTTCTTGGCCCACATTTACAATGGTGCACAGTGTCTATTATAAATGTGGGTTCGAGTTATGATGCTCCCAACTTGCGATGCTTCCCCAGGAACTGATCGCTTTGCAAGTCAGGGGCTGCCTGTATAGTGTTCCCTCTAAGCTGTGTGGCAGCACTGCTTCACAGGTGATTAATCAGCCACACTCAGTCAGAGGCTCAGGTCTCCCTGAATGGAGGTAATTGTCTGGGCAGGGCCAATTAATCACCTGTGAAGCTGTGTTGCTTAGAGGAAATACTAGTTGTGTATGAGATGCAAATTAAAGACAGAGTGGCAGCCTTAACTAAGAATGTTCTTGCTTTCATGTTATTGAATCAATATTCTATGCAGTTCCCCGTGAAAATAAGAAAATTCTAATTTAAAATATTTTAAAATATAAAGAGCATTTAAAATGAAAACCACTAATTTTTGTTTGGTTGGGACCAAATTAATCTGAATGGAAATATAAACATTGTCACATTGTAATTCATTTAAAAAGATTTTATTTTGCCTATAGTCGTAGAATCATAGAACGCTAGACCCTCGAGAAGGGACCTCGAGAGGTCATCAAGCCCAGTCCCTTGCCCTCACAGCAGGACCTAGTACCATCTAGACCATCCCTGATAGCTGTCTATCTACCCTGCTCTTAAATATCTCCAGAAATGGAGATTCCACAACCTCCCTAGACAATTTATTCCAGTGTTTAACCACCCTGACAGTTAGGAAGTTTTTCTTAATGTCCAACCTAAACCTCCCTTGCTGCAGTTTAAGCCCATTGCTTCTTGATCTATTCTCAGAGGCCAAGGAGAAGAATTTTTCTCCCCCCCTCCTTGTGACACCCTTTTAGATGACCTGAAAACCCCCATCATGTCCCCTCTCAGCCTTCTCCTTTCCAAACTACACAAGCCCAGTTCTTTCAGTCTTCCTTCATAGGTCATGTTCTCTAGACCTTTAAGCATTCTTTATTGCTCTTCTCTGGACCTTCTCCAATTTCTCCATATCTTTCTTGAAATGTGGTGCCCACAGCTGGTGGCAGTACTCCAATTGAGGCCTAATCAGCACAGAGTAGAGTGGAAGAATGACTAGTATTCTCTTTTTAATATAATTTTATTTGGCTGCATTTTAAACACATGGGCTACGTCTAGACTGGCCCCTTCTTTGGAAGAGGCATGCTAATTTCTAACTTTGGAATAGGGAAATCCGCGGGGGATTTAAATATCCCCCGCGGGATTTAAATAAACATGGCCGCCGCTTTTTTTCCGGCTTGGGGAAAAGCCGGAAAAGAGCGTTCAGACTGGCGCGATCATCCAGAATAAAGCCCTTTTCCGGAGGATCTCTTATTCCTACTTCAGGAATCAGAATTCCTACTTCCCAGTATCACCTACTGTTGGCCTTGTGTTTCATTGTAGCCACCCCCTAACTTAATATCTTGCTTCAAGATGGGTAGTCTTAGCTCTCTTTTCTCTAGTTAGTATCTTAACCCTCCAACCAGGTTACAAAACAAGAAACTAAAGAATCCCAGCAAACAAAAAGGTTCTTCTGCTCTTCCCTTTTTCCAGCGCCTCCGGACTGCTCTTGTATCCTTCTCTGTTCTGGGCTATAGAGCTTGCCCCAGAGCCATTTCCCCTGGAGTTAGGCTTTCCATTCAAGGTTTTGCCTCCAGAGCTTACATGAGAATCTACTCTCTACCTGTGGTTCCAAGTGCCTACTCAAACATTTTATAAAGTCCAAGTGTCTTAAGCTAATTAGCTGCTATCTAACCACTTAAATAATTAACTACTTGTGGGTGGGGATGGGTTAGCTTGTTCTCCTCCACGGAGTCTATCATCGCTATATGGCGCTCAGACTCATCTGAAAGGACCAGTCCTCTGCAACAGTTTCCAACAGATTCCTATTTGAATTGAATATATGTGTAGGTTTAGAGTACGTTTAACAAACCCTTGAAACATGTAGTTTCCTATATATGTGAGCATCATGTAATTTTTTTAAACATTAAATATATTAGGATCTCCATATCTTGCAGTATCTTCATTAGTACCCGAAGCAATAAAAACAATAAGCAATTAAAATCAAATGTTGCTTATCCTCTTTGCTCTTCAAACACATCCAGGTTTCAGACAGATTCAAATGTAAGCTACCAAGTTATAAATGCCTTAAAAATAAGCATTATAGTGGAAACACTGACAAAACACTTACTATAGCAGCAGTGTCGAGTGTCAGTATAATAAAGAAAAATATTTACTGTGCAATACTGTGGCACTTTTCTCTCTCAAATTAGATGAGGCAGTCATGCAAACAAGCAATATGTATGTGAAAAATAGTGTTTGCTGCATGAAGATGGAGAGTTTTGCATATAAATCCCTAGAATGCACACAGTAGAATAAACAAAACTTCTTGAAACTTGTTGATTTAAAAAAATGCTCTCATGTTTGCCCATACTGTGTATAGACTTTCTCTATACAATGAGAGAGCCAGATTTCTATACAACTCCAATAAGTATGAATATTAATAAGAAACCTGTTATATGGGTGCCTTTAATCTTTTGCCATTTGAATTGGCAGGACAGAAATGAGGCTCTTCTACTTGAATTGGTGTTTTGAATTTGTGGTTTTGAAATAATACTGCTTTTGAGTTTACAGTTTTTGTTTTATCTTGACTAGAGTTTTATCTTAATCCAAGATTTAGGTGACTAATGCATTTATTTTATAAAAATGATACATGTATCTATGAAGGCTAGAATTCAAAATTATTCCATTTTCTTCACTTTCACAGAGAAATTGCTTTCACTAGGCAACTCCATGAAAAAGCTGATGAACTGTGCTATTACTATATGGGTTTCTACATTCATTCATGTCCTAAAATGAGATACAAGGTAAAAGTGTATTTTATTACTCGGTTAGCATATTTGATGCTGTTTGAAATGTCTGACAGTGTTATTTTATAATTGTCATGCTGGATTTTAACATGGATTGTTAGGGGTTATAGTTGAATGTTGGCTACTGCTAACTTGGCTTAAGAGTTAATTTTTTTGTGCATTTATTTGTATACAGTATTTATTAAAGTTGGCTTAAAATCTTTCACTAGAAGTTTCAAAGATGTCAGCAGTATGTCATATCATTGGCTTCCAGGGTATCTCAGATTTGCCATATTTCATACTCTTGACTTTTTTAAAAATCATATTTGACTGTGGAAATGTTCTGCAACAACATGTCGTCTTGGGTGTACTTGTGACTCTCCCATTTAATGCTTTTTTAATAGGAACACAGGAAGTAGTGAACTGGAACAAATCACTGGGCACTCAGTTGAGTATTGTGTCTCAGACAGTTGGCAGTAGTCAGGCCTGTTGACGGGGGTGGGTAAGAGGGTGGAAGTACCGTAGGGCCTGGGTGATTAAAAGGGGCTTGGGGCTTCTGACTGCTGCTACTGTGGCAACGAGAGTGTTCAGAGTCCCAACCCCTTGAAATTGCCGTCAGAGTTCTGCATGACATACTATAGAGCTCCAAGCAATGCACTCCAGATAACGAGGGGGTAGATGGGGTTGCAGTCTGGGTGGTGCAGATGGCTGGCTCCCCTGGCCCCGCCCTTTCTGCCTGAGGTCCTGCTCCCTTCCAAGAGTGCAGAGTGCCCCCCCAGCCTTGCCTGGGGGCCCAGCGAGTCTGTCAGGTTGCATAACCACAGCAGAATCCTCAGAAGAAGGTATAAGAATCCCATAGTGGAGAGTTTGGAATAACTGTCACATAAGAAATTTCTTCTTATCCCATGTGAATTTAGATTTGCTTGTGTCCTGAATCATGAATGTTTACGTCCCTTCTGGTTTTTAAAAAAGCTAATGTGAATCTGGGTACGCTCATGATCCCTATGAATGTAAACTCTTTTTTGAATCCTACAAAACTCTTGATCTCAATTTTTTTTCCCAAAAAATCAACAGAACAATGAAACATAGCAAAATAAATGTCATATTAATACAGTTCTTTTGTTAGCTGAAACATCTTTTTTCTAGAAACAGAAAGAAATACGGCTGAAGGTAAAAGGTTCGTGGTCACTTTTTAATGGATATCTGTTAAAAACAATGAATGAAAAGTTCGTTTGCAGAGTTGCATTTATTTTGAGCACTAATTGGTAGAAAGGATGCTAATAGATCTGATGAGGTTACAGTTGCTGAAACCAGGGCTGTTTAATATCTAATGTTTCTAAGCTGTCTAATGGAAAGTGAGGCAAGAGCCATCTCAGTTTTGTTGTAACCTATGTTCAGCATATGCTCATGATTACTCATTCCTCCCTAGCTGACAAAACAAGCCTGATTTTCTATAAATAAAATCATCCCCTGTTCCTTTGCCAGAGACAGTTTATCATCTGTATACGCCAGCCAAACCAAAGGAACAGTTAAATTGGATGTAGACAAGTCAGTGAATAGCAAAATACCACCTACAACTTCTTGTCTCCTTATAAAGTATCACATCAGTAGCTGAAGCTATGTGTTTTAATTACTTGCCATGATTTTTGGCGTACATTAGAAGTTTGGGATGACTCATGACCATTAAGGCATCAGAGTTTAACATCATTATTCTATCATGCAATGTAAATTTGTTGAAAAATGTATTCAACTTAATAAAGTGTTCAAATAATAGGAGAGACTTATTTATAACTGATAAGACAAACACTGTCTCAGCTCTTTATGATATCATTATTAAACATCACTTCTCTTAGCCACCAGCAGTAACTTCAGTGAACAAGATGAACTTTGCATCCCAGGTTGGAAGAAAGCTCATGCACAAGCCAATGTACTAAAATAGCCAAAAGCTATCAAGCTGTACAGACGAAATGCTGCAAACGTATGCTATACCCCCACAACCTTTTTGCAGTTATATGATTAATCACAATGGAGCCTGACCTCTAGAGAGGCGAATTGTGCTGCTTTATGTTGTGAATTTAAATGGAGTCCAGTGAAAATTTCACCTTTTATAGGTGCTTCCTGTTTGCATACTTATTAAATTCTTACCATGGAAGTAGGGCTGATGATACTCTATCCCCTCTTTAGTTACTTGGAACCCCCAAATTCTGACCTCAGTTACACCTGAGTGATTTTGTTGACATCAGTGAGGACATAGTCTCTTATTAAACCTATTCAGTGTTCTTAAACAACTGTAAATGTCCCAATTTGAAAGTCTACATTTACAGTACCAGAAAGACTCCAGAAACTGGGACAGCCATATATACGCAGAACATGTGCAATAGCAGGAGAGGATGAAGAGTGAAGGTTTATGGAAAAGCTTTCAGGTTTTTCTGTTTAACAGTCACCACATATGATGTCATTGGAAACCAAGTTGACATTAATTCTATAATGCTCTTCTTATTACTCTTCTGAATAACACTATGGAAACCAATCTTAAAGCATTTAAATGTCTCCTATGAAGTGAGGAGTAGTTTTATATATGAATACTGGTAGTTTTATGGATTAAATAATTACACAAAAGTTAAGTTTGACACATTGGTGTTAAATTGAATACCCTGCTTAGTCCCAGTTTTAACAATTCCCTTCTTCCAATGATGCGCCACTGAAAAATATGAAGAGAAGCTATACATTGATGTCATGGTGAGCACAGTCAAATGATGGAGGAGAGAAGAAGGGGTGTTGGAGATGGTGGTGTACTGAGAGAACATATCATTTTATAATCTGCTCTGCAGTGTTAAATACTGAGAGCATTTAGAAACTGAAAATAGTGCACCATATGCCTGTTCACTGTTAAATAGTGACTTTAGAAGGAAATATACATGTTACAAATTGGAATGTAATGATTAACCAATTAACTGGTTAGCCAACAGCTTGACCTGGCCAGAGCAGCCCCCACCCATGGGAGGAGGCTGGGTCCGCTGTGCCATGCCAGGGGTGGGGAGCGGGCCAGCCTGGTCAAGCTGTTGGATAACTGGTTAACCACACCATCTCTCATTGAAGCGGTTAACTGGTTAAACATTATGTTCACTGAGGAAACAGGATTTTACATTTCTCATTACAACTGACTGCCAATTTGATACCATCTGGAGTTGAAGATGTTATTGTTCTTAACCAATAAAATAAGGAAAGGTTGGGATAGATTTTAATGGGTAACCTCCCTTCTTTCCATGCTATGCTGTTGATATTTGGAAACTTCTGAGTAGGGATTACCCTCCCCACCTCTTGGATTAAAAGAAAGTTGCTGCTAGTATACCATTTGGGATTCAGACTTTCCCTGAATCATCTACTAGTTTTTCAAATCTTTTAATATCATAAATGGTTTGCTAAGACTATGTTTTTCTGTTGGTTGTCAGGAAAGGGGGTGGATGATTGTTCTAGGATGTATCAGAGTGGTGATTTTAGGATTAATTGTTGAACTTGTGGTAATATTGCACTTCAGGTGAATATAATATTGAAGTCCTTTATTCTGTGTTATGAATCATGAAGGCAGACTGCTGTTGAAATAACTGGGGCACTGCATGCATGCAGCAATTTCACGATTCAGGATCGGGGCTTTAATTGGTTGCATTTAATATAAGATCTTTTACATCTGTGCCTCCAGTGAGCATTTTAAAATCTTTAATAAAAATATGGCTGAAAGCTGAGAGTGTCAATTCATAAGCAACAGAATTCTATTCTAACTGGACATTTTTATGAATGCTGATCGCTGACTGTATTCCTTTTGGACACTGTTTCTATTGCTGAGACTGTGTAATATTCCAATTTAAAATTTTGGAACAGAATAGTAGTGTAGTCAATATATAATGGCTTCCTTTTTCCTTTGTAAATAAAATGCTGGATAGCATTGTGTGCTATATGAAGAGCAGATGGGTGATTGTCACATCTGTAGTTTTTATACTCATCACCTTAGATCTAGGCATCTGAAGTGAATTTTGCTGAAGAAAAAAAGAGGCCTATGTATTTTATATCTTATAGTTAATGTAAATCCTCATACAAGCATATCTTTGGGCAACCTTCTTCAAGTATGGCCTGGGCTTAACACCAATTACTCAGTGCAATTGCAGATGTTTTAGCAATGTTGAGCAAGTCAATACTGCACTGACAAATTACACTTTCATGGTAAAAGTGGGCCCTTCTCATTCAAAAGATGCTGTTTCTATAAATGCTCGTATGACTCTTGGCACACAGCGATAAATAGTGCGTAATGCTGGTTGACGATTAGAGGCTAGAACATAGGGAAATAGAATCCTCTGAACCTAAGTCCCATGGCACTATAACAACACTTAACCATTCTCACTTTCCAGGCAAAGGGTTGTATGACTAAGGATCATTTTTCAGCCCCAGGAATCACACATGTAGTTGATTGTGTGTAGCTACAATAGTTTTGAAAAGGAGTTACATTTGACACCGCCATCTCTCAGATCTCTCATTTGACTTGAAATGTGTCTTAAAACAGCAGTTATAGCACCTATTAAATTATTGCTAAACTGGAAATGGCGAACAGGAAAATTAAAAAATCCTATGATATGAGCTTTTTATGTTTCCTCACCCTCCAGATTTGCTTCCATAATGGGTTAATATTCATTAATTAGTTAAATACCCCCCCCCCCCAATAAAACAGATGTCAGGATTTCTGTAGTCCAATTAACCAATATATTAGTGTGTGGAAAAAATATAGGCAATAAACATTAAGCAGTGGTGATATTGCATTTATTTTAGGGCAGTATTAAAACTTGTTTTACACAACTTCTCTGTTAAAGACTTACTCTGTTAAATATGATGGGTTTTATGTTGGAAAAAGTGGTCCACTAGAAAGTTCAAGTATTTCCACATTCAAAAAAAGCTCTCCAAGATTCATAATGCATGGTGCCTTTTTTTCTTAGGCCTTTAAGGATTTGTAACGGGTTCCATCTGAGGAG